AGAAGCAACCCTGCCACTGCTGCAACCCCCATCCTGGCCCTGCCCAGGCCCCTCCATCCCTGCCAAGCATTGTCCCCTTATGGGAACTGATGGTGCTGGAGCACCCCGGCTGCTGCTGCTGCTGGAGAAAGGGCTGTGCCAGCACTGGGGGCTGAGCTGGCATGAACTGGCAGCCCCTGCTGCTGCCATGGCTGGCTCAGCTGCTCTGGCCCTGGGCCACCCTCCAGCAGGGCTCTGCTGCAAGGACAGGATGCACAAGGAGGGTCCAAATCCCATGCTGCCCCCCACCACCACCACACCCTCATCTCTGTCCCCCCCTCCCCCTGCGGTAGCCCCACGGTGTGCCATGACCCTCCAGAACAGCCCCCCCCTTCCTCCCCCCCTCTCTGAGGACAGACCCCCAGCTGCTGCCAGCCCCTGGGGAGCACTAAGGCCCAGGAGATCCCCACCCCAGCCCCCACAGTCCCAGCCTTCCCATGGTGCCTTTGCTATGCTGGTCAGTGGGCTCTGAGCCCACGACCTGGCTGGCACCAGCCCCACCTCATGATTCGGCCACCGTGGGGATGGGGGGCCCCACTCAGGGCCTTGGAAAAGCCCCTGCCTGGCTCCGGGGGTGATGGCGGAGTAATGGCAGCACACAGAGAGCAGCTCTGCCCTTATAAAGCCATTGTTTGGGCTCCGGTGTGCCAGTGCTGTGCAGAGCCAGGGGAGCCATGGCTCTAGCACCAGACAGGATGCTCCAAGACAGGCACAAACACTGCAGGATAAGGCAGGACCTGAGCCTTGAGTCACACTTTCCAGACTCCTGCTCCTGCCCATATATGAGCAGGCAGCACCTCGGGGCTGGGCATATGCACGCTGGGGAGGGAAAGGAGGCAGCAAGTGCAAGCAGTAATGCTGCAGCAGCCCGGGGGGGTCACCCACATTTCAGGCGGCGCCTCTCAGAGCACAGAGCTGAGTCCCCAGCAGCTCATCCTTGGATCAGGCTCAGCCAGGGGGAGGGATCTGTTCTCACTATTGCCCTCCCCAGAGCTGGAGAGTCAAGATCCCTATAGCATGACACAGTCCCCACTGCCCAAACCCCCATGGGTGCTATTCCAGAAGGCCCAAGGACAGTCTGCCTCTGCTCATCTGCCAGCTGCCTCTGCCTATCTCCTGGCTGCAGTGGGGCCCTGCCTGGCACCACCGGGACTTGCCCCTTGCCCACTGGCATCCCCCAGCCTTGTCCCCAGCCGCGGCAACTGCTTCCCAGCCGAGCCCTGGTGGTGGTGGGGCACGGGCAGATACTTGGAGGGGAAGGTTCTCACCATTGGTCCTTGGGGGGGGTGACAATGGGCTACGACTTTTTGGTTTTTACCAGCCCCTTCTGGACCAGGCAGCGATAGAATTCCTGAATGTATGTGTACACACACTTCCAATCTGGCTCGCGCATCCGGACCATGTCCTCCACGTCCAGCAACTGTGGACAGTCCGCGTGCTTCCTGGGTGCAGGGAGAGAGAGGGGCAAGCCAGTGACCACAGCCCAGTCAGGGAGGGGAGGAAGAGAAAACAAGAGACACAGATCAGTGCAGTTCCCATCCCCCCAGAAGCTGCTCTGCTCTGGCATGCTCCGGGGGTGCGCGATGCAGGGGCAGGAAGGCTCCGGGCACCCCGTGCCAAGGCCATTCAGTGAGACTGGAGAGCACAAGCAAGGGGAGGGGGAAGGGGCAGCAGGTGAGCGGCGTGGAGAGGCGTGAGGTTCAGAGGGAAGGACAGACAGAGGAGGAGGAAGAGGAGGAGTGAGGTGTTCTGGTGCGCCAGGTGCTCAGGGAGCGGGTTCCAGAGTGGAGCGACGCTCTATATAGCTCCTATATAGACCTGTTGGGAGGATGGCGGGGCAAGCCCAGCCCTCCTGCCCAGCTCCGCTTGGAACCACGCAGCACAGCCCTGGTGCAGGAAGCTCAGGAGAGGATGCTCACAAGAGCTGGAGGAGGAAGGACAAGAGGCCACCTGGCTTCCAGGCCGGAGAGATGATGGCTCTCTCAAGTCCGTGCACTGGTTCCCCAATTAAGGCAAAAAATCCATTACCAGGAGCGCCAAGAGCTAGGCCTGCAGCTCTCTTCTTGCTCCACCAAACAGCACCACGGCACCCAGGGAGCTCATGGGAGCCCCCAGCTCACCCCATGGCCCCGGACACCAGCCGAATGGGACCCCCACCCCTGGCCCTGCCCCCGGGCAGGGTACTGAAGGAGAGGAGTGGAGGGGTGGGAGAGAGACAGAAGGAAGGAGAGAGGGGCTGGCTGCCAGCCCTCCAGCTGGGCGCACTCCCATCTCTCAGCACCCAGGAAAATCAGAAGCAAAAGGGGAAGGGAGGAGACTAGAGAAGCTGCAATGGTGTTTGAGCCCCTATGACTGTGAAAGGAGGTACCTGGCACGGGCAAACCCCGCTACCCACAGGCTGCAGTCCCAAACCCAGCACCTTGGGATGGGATGTACTGCCTGCAGCCAGGTGGGCTTGGGATCTGCTGCCTTGCCCTGTGCTTGGGAACCCAGACCGCCACGCTCACCCTCTCACCACACAAGACTGGGCTGCACTGGCCTCTCGTGACTCTGCCCAGGCAGCTGCTGCTTTCCCACCCAGCACCCAACCTTGTTGCATGACATGGGGGAAGCGACACATATGGGCACCCACCTCCAGCACCATCACCCCCGTGTGTCCCCCCTCGCCCCAGCAGCGAGCAGAAGAGGCTGCCCCAAGCCACCCCAAGCTCATATGATGGCATGAGAGGTACATACTCTGCAGAAGAGAAGGCCACCTCAAAGTTGTGGCGGCGGTTCTGGGGTGTCAGCTTACTGTAGTCAAACGCATCAGGGAAGAAGTTGTGGACCAAGGCACAGAAGGCCATGCCATCACTCCAGCTGGATGAGAAGTTCTGGATGTCTACATGCTGAGAAGGCAAGAGAGTTACCAAGGGACAGAGTGACCGGCCCTGGGATGGGAAGAGGAGGTGGCACCCACCTCGTAGCCCCGGGTCTTGGCTCTGCACCAGTCCAGCAACATCTGCTTGATACTGTTGGCATTGGGCACGCCAAAGCTGGAGGAGCGCTGCACACTGGTCTGTGATGCTGCGGGGTTTGGTGAGCTATGGCAGGAGACACGGGGTGTTATCCATGGGTGTTAGCTGTGGGGTGTTATCTGCACTGTGTTCACTGCCCCAGCCAGCCTGCCCCAGGCCCAGCCTCACCTCCCGCCTTCCTTCTGCAGCTTCTCCATCATGGCCTTGCGTGCCTGTGAGGTTGAGGTCTTGGGCAGGCTCTGAGCCTTCATTAGCTCCTTCTTCTTCTCTGCCTGACGCCGCTCCAGTGCAGCCAGGCTGCTCTGCCTGGAGGCACTCTCATCTTCACGGTCGAAGACGCTGGGAGAGAGATGAACAATGTGAAGGGGGCTCCAGGTGGCCCAGGGAGGGGCAAGCAGTGGCCTCAGCCCATTGCCAGCCCTGGCACTTCAGAATCCTCCATGTCCCTAGGACAGAAGGGAGTGGCTTAAGGTCCCCAGCTGGCAGACATCTTTGTGCCCATGGAAGGACCCATGAGGACCTCTGAACGTAGTGAGTATACCCCAAGGACCAGGAGGCTTTGGGGACACCCTCGCACAGGGACACTGCAAGCAGATGAGTGACAGAGACCATACGTGCCTGTCTCCGCAGACACCACCACTCACCTGCCAGTCTTCTTGGACGAGGAGCTGTAGGATGATTTGGTTTGAACAAATGTGCTGTTGCCACCTGCAGAAAGAGAGGAAGGAAAGAAGCCCTGGGCAGGAGCTGAGGCAGGTGGGACTTGGCTTGCCCCAGGGCAGTGATGCCCCAGGGTTATACTCTGACAATGTTGCAGGGAAAGGGCAGGGAAAGCTCTTACTGTCCGATCTCTTCACATAACTCGACTCCATGGTTGTGGTACGGGAGGTCTTGGTGCCATCACCTGCAGAGACAAGGCAACAGGAACAGCTGGGCTGGGAGCAGCAGCACCCACAGACACCCGCTGCTGTCAAGCACCCTCACACCCATGCAGTGCAATGGGTAGAAGTCCCAGGTGGTAGAGGCATGGCAGACAGAGGGAGGACAGAGGGCACGTGCCCCCCAGGCAGAGCAAAGAGGACAGCGCAAAGCAGCAGAGAGCTGGGGCATCCCTCAACCCCTGCAGCCACTTGGCTTGAGCCACCTAGGGACTGGGAGAACCGGGGTGTAGGGGACAGGAGACAGGCCGAAGACATAGACAAGGCCCTGCTACCCCAAGAGAGTGGAGATCAGGTGGAACGTCACCAGAGCAGATCCATTAATGATCCCCAGGCAAGCTCTGAGCAAGCCAGAAACTCAGCCCTGCACTACAGTGCTGCTCCCAGAACAGTCAGACCAGACCCAGGACAAATAGCGAGTGGCCGAGGAGCTGTGGTGGCAGAGCACTGGGAAGGATTCTGCATGGCCACTGAAGGGCCAGCACACTGGTCAGTGAGCCCACTGCCCCCCAGCCTGGCCCGTACTAGACTGGACGAGACGCTCAGTCTTGGTGACGGTGCTGCGTGCTGAGCCGTCAGCTGACTGAGTGCTCTGTGTGGTGGTGGTCTCGGTGGCGTGGCCAGCCCTTCCCGCCATAGCCTGGCTCCTAGCCTCCTGCAGCCGCTGGTCTCGCTCCTTCTCCCGCTGGTCTGCAAACAGAGGTGGGAGACAGCATCAGCAGTGAGAGGCAGGGTGGTGGACACAATCCACACCACACCAGAGGTCCTATGGCTGCTGTTGTCCCACAACTAGCTCATGGGAAGTATGATGTCTTCAGCCTGGCACAGCCTGGGGGGCAAGAGAGGACCCAGCACGCAACCTCCAGCTTCCCTGTGGCTGGACAGCCCCACTCTAGCACTCCACACTGCCTCCGCCACTGCTCCAACCCCAGTGGGAGTCACTGTTCCCCAAGTACCTCGCTTGCGCTGGCGCAGCTCCCGCATGGCATTTCGGATCAGCCGTCGCTCCTCAAAGTCTGTTGTCCGATCCAGCTGCAGGAGGGAGATGTCAACATCACTCCTCTGCCATCAGCTTGGGGTCCCTTTACTTTCCCCCAGGAGCCCGAGCCAGAGGCAGAGGTACCATCTTATCCAGAACATCCTCATCCTCAATCCTGCTCAGCTCCTCGACATTCAGCTTGCTCCTTCTCTCTACCTCCCTCACTTGCACCTTCTCCATGCCGTTGGGTAGCTCTGGCTCCAGCCTCAGAACCTGGGGCTGCTCCACCACCTCCGGATCCATCTGCAAGGACAGTACGGTGCAGCTGAGCCCCTGCCAGCTCAGCCACCTCACTACTGCTGCTCAGGGTCCAGGCCCCCACCACCCTAACACCTGCTCAGTGCCGCAGGCAGTGAGGACTCTGGAGAGGATGTGCCACATGTGGCATAAGAGCTCTCAGCTGGTGGGACACTGCAGGCATCTGCAGTGCCCAAGGCAGGCAGGGCGTCACGCCATCCCCCTGTGGCACTCACTGCCCCTGGAGGGCCCAGCAGTCCCTGATCTCCTCCCAGTCTGGCTGCCAAAATATCTCCAGATACTCCCTGTTCCCTGTCAGGAGGTGGCTGGGCCCCCAAGCAGGCAGGGGCTGCCTGGGGCTACAGGCTGGGCAGTGCCTGGTGCCCAGCAGCAGGCAAGGTGCTGGCAAGGCCAGTGCGTGCCGTTAGCAGCACAAGGGATTTCCATGGAATTAAGGGACTTAGTGGAGAGAAGAGCTTGTGCAAGAGATCAAGAGCCTCCCCCGTATCCCTGCCAGGATCCAGGCCAGCTGGGCCCCTGCCTGAGCACAGCCAGGATGCCAAGTCCCTTTCAGCCTGACCCCCCAGCAATGCACAGCAGGCAGCGGGCCAGGCCCGGAATAGGGCACAGAGGCAGCAGGGATGCTGGAATTGGCCTGGAGCAGACATGCACACACCTGGCTCAATCCTGCATCCTGCAGCCCGGCACCTGGCCCATGGCAAAGCCATCGGCAGGAGCTGACACTGGCCACATGCACCCATGCCACCACCTGTGCCAGGCACTGTGGCAGGGGCAGGACAGCTACCTGTGGCCTCCTGCCCGGCACGCCAGCAATGCAGGCGCTGCAGCCGTGCCACAGTGAGCCCTAGGGGTGGTAGATCCTCACGGTGTCGTGTCCCCGTGCACCGCAGCCACAGTTCCATCTCATGTCTGGGCTCCAGACACCCCTAGGGGCCCCAGGGGCCGGTGCCCCCTCCCACCCCTTGCCGTGGGGCAGGGCTGCCCACACTCACGCTGCTGTTGGTCCGGGAGAGGTGCAGGGCCGATTGTTGGCACGTGCTGGAGAAAGCGGGTGGATGGGCCACAGGGCCGCTGGGCTCCTCGGTGCCCTCAAAGTGGGTGCAAGGGTCCTGTGCTTCCAGAAAGAGGGTGCTGATGTCCTCCCCAGGGGGCTCCTGCAGCCCTGGTGCCAGCAGGTCRAGGCAGCGGCCCAGGCGCCCCAGCTCTGCCCGCAGCTCCAGGTGCTCCTGCTCCAGTGTCTGCAGTGCCTGCACCAACGCCTGCACCCACTGCAGCGCCCACTGCAGCTGCCCCTCTGCCACCCCCCGGAACGCTGCCAGTTCCTGACGCAGCTCAGCCAGCTTGGCCGTCCCGGCCTGTGCCAGCCCCTCCAAGCTGACCCCCAGCATGGCGGCGGTGCAGGCACTGCAGTGAGCCTCGCTCAGCTGTCTGTTGCCCTTTATAGGGGTGCAAGGCACCCCCCCCAGCTGGAGGCCAGCCCACTCCCTGCCTGTGGGCTATTCTGGTCCCAGCAGCCGGGGGTCCCGCACAGGGGTGCTGAGCCAGGCGACACACTTGGCAGTGTGTCCGGCTTTGGGACCAGGTGGCTTGGCAAGGGGAGCTCTGCAAGTGGCCCCCCTGCCCTGGTGGCTGCCAGGGCCAGATACCAGCCTGGAGGCTGTGGGATACAGCAGGGGGAACCAGTCCCAACCACTGCTGTGCTGGATGAGTGACAGGGCCAACCACTGCTGTGCCCTTTCGTCCGAGTGCCCTCCCACTTTGAGCCAGCATCACCCACAGCACATCGACACCTCCAGCCCCAGACTGGCACTGGTGCAAGGGCCTCAGCCACAGCCAGGATTTTTAGAGGTCTCCATACCCCCATGCTGCCTAATGCCTGCGCCACGGGGGGTCCCTGCACGATGGGCATAGGCAACACCCCACCAGCGAGAGGACACACTGCAGTGGCTACTGTCCCCAGGTCCCTGCAGCCTGCTGGTCCCTCCAACCGAGCCCTACCTGGCAGGGCTGCCAGCACTGCTGCCTTCTCCTCCTCCTCCTCCTCCTCTTTGCCCACTGGGAGCACACCTGGCGGCTGCATCTCCCACCAAGCAGCTGATGGGTCTCAGGCCCCCCACCCCTCCAGGCAGCCCCACTAATACCTTAATGAGAGCTGACAGGTGCTCAGGCCAAGTCTGCCCAAGCGCATTAGCATGGGGAAGTGAGCTGCCCACAGGTAGGACCTGCCGGCAGGTGTGGGCAGCACCTGAGGGCAACCCTGCCAGGCTGTGGGCACTGCCTGCCTCATGCTGAGGAGAACTGAGCTGAGGACAGGGTGAGCCAGTGGTGCCACAGCCACCAGCGTGCCATAGGCCACTGGCAGTACCACGGGCCACTGGCAGCGCTGTTCCCACAGAGGCAGCCAGGCGCGCGCGGGGCCATGAGTGAGGCAGAGCTGTGTTTGACATCTCAGCTCCTGCCAAGGCGGCGCGTGGGTGCCTCACATTACCCTAGATGGGCAGGAGCAGACAAAAGCACTTGAAGGGCTGCACGCACGGCTGCCTCCTGTGTGCACCCAGCCCCAGAGTGGCCACAGCCCACTCTCCCCCCAAAACACTGAAAAAACTGGTTGTTTTTTCAGGTTTTTTTCTAGTCACACCCAAGAATCCTTCCTGGGCCAGGTGGGCTGGGACTGCCACGCCACTCTCCACTCAGGATCGCCGAGTGGGAGCAAGCAAGACCCCAACTCAGCTCCAGGGTAGGTTAGAGGTCTTCAGGGAGCCCCACCCCAAGGCAGGTTCCCCAGTGCCACGGCCAAGGTCCATCCCCAGGAGGAAAACCAGGAGTGGGCGGCAACGGGTTTTTCCCTGAGTTGCTGCCACCCTTAAAGGTGTTTAAAACAGACAGAGATCCAAAAAAGATTCCCATCTCACTTCGCTCCCCCTCCCCAACTGTGGGTACATGGTGGCACAGTCCAGAGTGCAGGAGACTCATGTGGGGCTGTGCAACCACACACAAAGCCAAGGGTCTCTTGATGGAAAAAAAACCCCAACCAAAACAAAACAAAAGCACCAATCAAAATCAGCTGGAGCCCCCAGAACATGCTGCCACCCTGCTGGTCCCTGGTCCCCACCCTAAGCCNAGCCGTGCCACAGTGAGCCCTAGGGGTGGTAGATCCTCACGGTGTCGTGTCCCCGTGCACCGCAGCCACAGTTCCATCTTGTGTCTGGGCTCCAGACACCCCTAGGGGCCCCAGGGGCCGGTGCCCCCTCCCACCCCTTGCCGTGGGGCAGGGCTGCCCACACTCACGCTGCTGTTGGTCCGGGAGAGGTGCAGGGCCGATTGTTGGCACGTGCTGGAGAAAGCGGGTGGATGGGCCACAGGGCCGCTGGGCTCCTCGGTGCCCTCAAAGTGGGTGCAAGGGTCCTGTGCTTCCAGAAAGAGGGTGCTGATGTCCTCCCCAGGGGGCTCCTGCAGCCCTGGTGCCAGCAGGTCGAGGCAGCGGCCCAGGCGCCCCAGCTCTGCCCGCAGCTCCAGGTGCTCCTGCTCCAGTGTCTGCAGTGCCTGCACCAACGCCTGCACCCACTGCAGCGCCCACTGCAGCTGCCCCTCTGCCACCCCCCGGAACGCTGCCAGTTCCTGACGCAGCTCAGCCAGCTTGGCCGTCCCGGCCTGTGCCAGCCCCTCCAAGCTGACCCCCAGCATGGCGGCGGTGCAGGCACTGCAGTGAGCCTCGCTCAGCTGTCTGTTGCCCTTTATAGGGGTGCAAGGCACCCCCCCCAGCTGGAGGCCAGCCCACTCCCTGCCTGTGGGCTATTCTGGTCCCAGCAGCCGGGGGTCCCGCACAGGGGTGCTGAGCCAGGCGACACACTTGGCAGTGTGTCCGGCTTTGGGACCAGGTGGCTTGGCAAGGGGAGCTCTGCAAGTGGCCCCCCTGCCCTGGTGGCTGCCAGGGCCAGATACCAGCCTGGAGGCTGTGGGATACAGCAGGGGGAACCAGTCCCAACCACTGCTGTGCTGGATGAGTGACAGGGCCAACCACTGCTGTGCCCTTTCGTCCGAGTGCCCTCCCACTTTGAGCCAGCATCACCCACAGCACATCGACACCTCCAGCCCCAGACTGGCACTGGTGCAAGGGCCTCAGCCACAGCCAGGATTTTTAGAGGTCTCCATACCCCCATGCTGCCTAATGCCTGCGCCACGGGGGGTCCCTGCACGATGGGCATAGGCAACACCCCACCAGCGAGAGGACACACTGCAGTGGCTACTGTCCCCAGGTCCCTGCAGCCTGCTGGTCCCTCCAACCGAGCCCTACCTGGCAGGGCTGCCAGCACTGCTGCCTTCTCCTCCTCCTCCTCCTCCTCTTTGCCCACTGGGAGCACACCTGGCGGCTGCATCTCCCACCAAGCAGCTGATGGGTCTCAGGCCCCCCACCCCTCCAGGCAGCCCCACTAATACCTTAATGAGAGCTGACAGGTGCTCAGGCCAAGTCTGCCCAAGCGCATTAGCATGGGGAAGTGAGCTGCCCACAGGTAGGACCTGCCGGCAGGTGTGGGCAGCACCTGAGGGCAACCCTGCCAGGCTGTGGGCACTGCCTGCCTCATGCTGAGGAGAACTGAGCTGAGGACAGGGTGAGCCAGTGGTGCCACAGCCACCAGCGTGCCATAGGCCACTGGCAGTACCACGGGCCACTGGCAGCGCTGTTCCCACAGAGGCAGCCAGGCGCGCGCGGGGCCATGAGTGAGGCAGAGCTGTGTTTGACATCTCAGCTCCTGCCAAGGCGGCGCGTGGGTGCCTCACATTACCCTAGATGGGCAGGAGCAGACAAAAGCACTTGAAGGGCTGCACGCACGGCTGCCTCCTGTGTGCACCCAGCCCCAGAGTGGCCACAGCCCACTCTCCCCCCAAAACACTGAAAAAACTGGTTGTTTTTTCAGGTTTTTTTCTAGTCACACCCAAGAATCCTTCCTGGGCCAGGTGGGCTGGGACTGCCACGCCACTCTCCACTCAGGATCGCCGAGTGGGAGCAAGCAAGACCCCAACTCAGCTCCAGGGTAGGTTAGAGGTCTTCAGGGAGCCCCACCCCAAGGCAGGTTCCCCAGTGCCACGGCCAAGGTCCATCCCCAGGAGGAAAACCAGGAGTGGGCGGCAACGGGTTTTTCCCTGAGTTGCTGCCACCCTTAAAGGTGTTTAAAACAGACAGAGATCCAAAAAAGATTCCCATCTCACTTCGCTCCCCCTCCCCAACTGTGGGTACATGGTGGCACAGTCCAGAGTGCAGGAGACTCATGTGGGGCTGTGCAACCACACACAAAGCCAAGGGTCTCTTGATGGAAAAAAACCCCCAACCAAAACAAAACAAAAGCACCAATCAAAATCAGCTGGAGCCCCCAGAACATGCTGTCACCCTGCTGGTCCCTGGTCCCCACCCTAAGCCCCAGAGCTGTCAGGTGATGCCCAGGTGGAACATGGCCCTGCAGCACCAAGGCCCCCTGGGCACTTACCTTGGTGACATTGCTGCTGACACTGCTGATGTTGCAGATACTGCTGACACTGCTGGGGATGGTGGTGATGCGGATGGGGGTGCTCCGCAGCCCCAGGGTCACCTCTGCAAGGGGAGGAAGAAGCATGTGGGGTCTGCCCCAGCCTGGCAGGCTCAGCTCCATGGCTGGGGATTGGCTCCGGCTGGGCAGCCCCGCTGCCCCACACATCCTGCCCCGACAGCAAGCACCAAGCTCTGACACAGGGAAAGGGTTCTGGGGACAGGCAAGGGATGGGAAAGCCAGGCCCCCCTCACCACCCTGGCTTATCCTCCTCCCAAGGAAGGGCACTTTCCACAGTGCTCCAGTTGGATCCAAGACCCCCTGGATGGCCACAGGAGTCAGCCGCGTCTGCAGGCAGGCAGGATTGGGGCAGGGCTGGAGCAAACACAGCACAGCAGTGGAACAGGACACACCAGGACAGCATGGGCTCCCCTGAGCCAGCAGTTTAGTGGGGACAGAGGATGGGGCAGGGCTGTGGGGGCAGGGCAGGAATTTGGGAATGAACCCGAGCACAGACATATCAGGACAGTAGGGTTGGGGACAGGCTGCAGGACCAGGTGGTCTCTCTGGACTGAGATGCCCTGAGCAGGCCGAGTGTGCCTGCCAAGGGGTGACGGCTGCCAGGCAAGCTCTGATCTTCTGGCAACACCCGTATTCAGCCTCTGGGCTGTCAGCAGCTGCTGCTGCCCATCAGCACCAGCCTGGCCTAGCACTGCCCGCCTGCCTCCACCTGTGCCTCCACCTGCCCATTAGTGCCCACCATCCTTCAGTGCCTGGCTGTCCACTGGCACCCACCTGCACCACTGCCAAGCTGTGCACATAGTCCCATCGGGAGCATGGTCCCGCAGTGCTTATGGCCCTGCTGGCACCCATTCCACTGTGGTACCCACTTTCCTGACAGATGCCCACCCTTCCCAGTCCCACCTCCCTTGAGTGACACCCACCATGCCCATCACTCCTACAGCGTCTAGCCTCCTGGCACATGCCAGCTGCCCACTTGACTCGTCCTGCTCGCCCCATACCCCATCAGTGCCCACCTGCCCGCTGGCTGCTGGGGGCGGCCGTGATGCGGGGAGCGAGGGGCTGCACACGCCCATCC